AAAAAAAAAAAAAAAAAAAAAAAAAAGAATTAGTAACTTCAACATCAATTTCTTGCTCAATAAAATCTGAAACAATGTTTACCCGTGAGAAGAAACGCCATCGAATTCGTATTAACGGATCGCCCACCAGCATGCATTCTCTAAAAATAACCACGGAAAAATCAGCAAAAAGTTCAAAAAAAAAAAGAATATACAAATGGTTATGTTACCGTTGGTCGCCTCTCGGGTGCAAACCCTGAGAACCCACTCTCAACGTCTCCCCTGCTCCCCCGAAACACGAAGCTCATGATTTCGGCCCTAAAGTTTCCCCACAAAACACAAATTTCAAACAAATACATAGAAATTTTAATGCCACTCGTCAAAAAAAATTCGCCCGGGTTTTCGGATATCAAGATTTCACCTTTATTATTAGAAACCCTAGGATCGAGGAAAGGTGCTGAGTGTGGGGCAAAAGTTTAATTTTTTTTTTTTTAAAATTAGGCTTTTTAGATGGGAGAGGATCTGAGAGGGGACTTTGGTTATAAATACGACGACGTGATGACGTGGGGTCCTGCTCGTTGAAGGGACACGTTGAGGGTTGTTGAAGAGGAGGGTGACACGAGGGCGAGGAGGCGACGACGAGGGGACCGACCGAAGTTTCGCGTCTCGAGGTCAGGTTTAGTACGTTGTTACGGCCCAGTCGAATAATCTCGAGGGCCCATTAAATATTGGACTGCGAGGTTTCGTGGCCCAGTTGTTCGTGGGCTTGGTGACTTTGGTTGTTAGGAGCTGAAGTGGAGGTTATAATCAAAAGTGAATAATAAGTTTTTCAAAAGATTGAAAACAAAAAGTCAAGATCGCCGAGTTGGTCTAAGGCGCCAGTTTCAGGTACTGGTCCGAAAGGGCATGGGTTCGAATCCCATTCTTGACAAGGTGCTATTTTTTGTTTGATTTTTTAATCATTGGATTATTACTTTTTAGCTTTTTGTTGTTTTTGAGAAAATATTTCGTTTTGGCCCTTTGCTTTTTGTTGTCTTGAGAAGTTTTTTTTTTTTTGGCCCTTTTCCCTATTTGTTGTCTTGAGAACTGACATAACTCATAAGCATCCCGATTTCATCGGGGCGTCAAGCCTCAGCGCATTCTTATGGCTTGTTCGATGATTTGCATGAGGGACTCCATCAGTAAAATCCGCCGACCAAAAAAATCGAGGGAGCCCCTACAGCAGCAAATCACCCCGCATCAACTTTTTTTTTCCCCTCACCCAAACCAACCTGAATCTTCATTTGTGCGGGCACTAATTACCAAATTAAAGAAAATGTTGCATTTTCAATTTGTTTGTGAACCAAATTAAATGCCGCACTTTTTTGGTTAGACATCAAATAGACACAGCAGACCTCAGTTCAGTCTCCGAAGCACAAACAAAGACCACATACGCAGCTACACGCATCAAAACTATACAAAAGCAAGCGACAAATTCCCCCGCACCGTAGCCTTGAACATTTTTGCAGCACTACACAAACCCAGATGATGTACTTCTCACTTGTCAATTTGTCCTAGTTTGCCAAGCCCATTGCAATTTGGGCAAACAATTTGAGCTTGATCCTTTCTTGCTGCATTTGCCCTCAGCATTGAGCTCCCTTTCCTTATGAATCCTGCCCCGTCGCACTCCGGACATCTAAATAAACAAAAATTCATAAAATTTGATCAGTATTTGTTTATAAGTATTAAAAGAAAATTGAGTAGATTACGAATAATCTCTTTCATATGTACACTTTTAGCAGCATGTATCGCTCTATTGCCTCTCAATTCCTGAGAACGCGTTATCCGCAATTTATCATTCTCCAAAAGGTTAATTGCACATACACCCCTACATCATATGACTGATACAGTTAACCAGGGGCGGATCTATGTTCACCCTATAGGGGTGCAGTTGCACCCCTAAATTTTTTTTCAAAATTGCATTAGACACAATCTGATTTTTCAGTTTTCACCCCTAAGATTTTACAAATGGCACCCAACCTAAATTGAAACACACTTGTGGAAGCCCATTGGAATTTCCATACGAGAGGCACTAGGGGCACACCATGAACCACACCTCTAACCACACCTCATCTCTTGCTACAGTGCACCGGGTCCCCAAATGAGATTTAATTTTTAAATCTCATTTGGGGTCTGGTGCACTGTAGCATGAGATGGGGTGTGGTTGGAGGTGTGGTTCATGGTGTGCCCCTATCATTTTCCTTTCCATACGAACAATAAGTAGGCCCAAAGACAAATAGCCGAAGTAAAATGCAAAAGTAGAGACCAAAACAAAAAAAATCCACCCAAAACTAATGACTAAATCCAAAGCCAATAATATCTTCCCCCCACTCTAAGCTCCAAAGACCTAAAATTCCCAAACTCTAAATCCTAGAGCTCCGCTCAAATCCTAAATCTGAGAGTCCTCCCTCGGACACGCTACAGGCGGACCTCCGACCGATTGTCTAAATGTTTTATACGTTCTTTGATAAATATTTTGAAGACAATCTTCTATTAATTATGTAGTGCGTACCAAGTGTTTGTTTTTATGAATTTGATTTGATTTTGAAGTGTTATTTTAATTGGCAAGTAATATTGAAAAAGTGTTCATAAGGTGACGCCTTAGATAATCATCTAAGAACGCGGACTAAAATCACATGATTGAGCTACATTGTGGATGATCCGTTCCGTTTAACCCAATCTACATATTCTAAAATCTCAGCACACCAAGTTTGGGGTGAACCCATCGTCGTTTGACCCTCCGTCGAGCTATTTGAAAAGTTCTATTCATTCGAAACCGTTAAAATTGATACGAACAGATGAAGTGTCAAACGACAGATTCACCCCAAATTTGGTGTGTTGGGGTTCTAGAATATGTAGATTAAGTTTAACAAAGCGGATCATCCACAAATGTAGCTCAATCATGTGATTTTAGGCCTTGTCCTTAGATGATTATCTAAGGCGTCACCCCAAAATTAGTGTGTTGGGGTTTTAGAATATGTAGATCAGGTTTAACAGAACGGATTATCTACAATGTAGCTCAATCATGTGATTTTAGATTGCGTCCTTAGATGATTATTTAAGGCGTCACCTTAGGAACACTTCTCCCAATGAAAAAACCAATTTTGAAGAAATTTTAAGTGAACTTAATTGGAAATATAACATGATAATGTGGGTTTTAGGGCATTTTTCTTCAAATTCAAAACTTTCACATTTTCTAAAAACATCAACCAAACAGCCTCTTATTAGAAAACAAAATCCATTAGAATACTTAACATTGAAAAGGGCTAAATTACCAAATTGATATATTTAGTGGCATCTCGCTACCAGTAAGTTAAATTTCCAAATGTGTGCAAACACCTTGCAACCAAAATATCATAAATGGAAGTAAATTATAAGTAAAAATACTTACTCTTGTTTGTATATCGCATTACGTGCAAAATATGATGCTATAAAACATTTAAAATACCGAAAGCATTCTTGTCGGATACAATTATTTTATAATGTTATTTTTACTTTTAGATAAATAGATACTCGTTGCCCCCACCCCCAAACCTCCCGAAAAAAAGTTTCTGGACCCGCCACTGCAATTAACAAACGATAAACTTAGAGCTACTAATTGGCTAACTAATAAAATAGCACTTAAATGCCTTATAATTAACATGTTTTGTAGTTACATACCCTAATTATTTAGAGACATTAATTTAGCTGACTAAATAGCAATTAAACACCTTATAGTCAAAATGCCTTTGAAGTTTAGTAGCAACTCGACTATCTATTCTAATTTCAAATGATAAGACATGAAAATCAATATTGCAATGATGGTTGTCCTAGATAACATTGTCTTATCGCTTGAAATTGAAGTAGACAGTAACTGCTACAGTAATGGGCATTCTCCAATTACCACCTAACCAGAGAACCAGGTTCTCTGAATAAATATATAATGTGTTTGAATTTTACATGTCTTTGCCAGAGAAAATGATGGGAAACACAGTTCCCACGAATAATCTCTCTAATCTGTACATTTTTAGTAGCATGTATCATTCTATTGCCTCTCAATTTGTGAGAGGTCTCCAAAAGGTTAATTGCACATGCAATCCTATGCTTATATGTTTAGACGTCTAAAAGGATCTCTATGCAAGATATTGACATCATATGATTGATAAAATTAACCAATGATAAACTTAGATGTACTAATTAGCTAACTAATCGGATAGCACTTAATGTCTTATAATTAACATGCTTTGAAGTTATATACCCTATTTATTTCGAGTTATTAATTTAGCTAACTAAATAGCACTTAAATACCTTATAGTCAACAAGCCTTTGAAGTTTAGTAGCAACTTGACTCTCTATTTCAATTTTAAAGGATAAGACACGGAAATCAATATTACGATGATGGCAGTACTAAGGGGCTGTTTGGTTGTATGTTTTTACTATGTAAAAGGATGTAAAGTGTAAAAAAGTGGGTCCCAATGTCAGCTTTCATCACTTTCAATTGTTTGTTTGTAGTTGTGAAAATAGTGTAAAGTGATTTCATATGCTGATGTGGCTTGTAAAGTGATTTCATGAAAAAAAAGACATGATTTTAGGAGAAAGCTATCATTGAAGTTAGGAAAAAATAATAAAAAATAATTCCAACCAATATGATCATTTGAGTAGGGATCACTTTTTACACTTTCCAAATAAACAATTAAAGTTTCATTTTGCAAACCAAACAAGTGTTTTATGATTCCAATGGAATCAAAAACAAACAAAGAAAACTATAAAAGTGAAATTGATGAGGTGGACAACAACTTTCCAAGTTGTGTCATAAATACACAACTTTACCAACAACAACCAAACAACCCCAAAATGACGTTGTCTTATCGCTTGAAATCGAAATAGACAGTAGTTGTTATATTAATTGGACCTCTCCAATTATCACCTGTAAGGAAAAGCATCAAGTGCGTCTGAGTCATAGCATTAAATGTGCACTTAAATGATATCAATTGTTGGATCATTAGATTTCGAAATTCGTGTGCAGATAGAACGGTTGACATCTTTTAGGTGTACATTTAATGTCATTAGACCGAACACTTTCTCTCCAACTAGAAGTTATCTGAACAATAGTTTATATCTATAATAAATATATAAGAGCTTTGCTATATGGACCCAAAATTTAGGACCAACAGGTGACATCCCTCCTATTGCATAATGAGCTGACATCATTAATGATGATCAGTCTATTATGCAATAAGAGGGGGGCACCTCACATATCACCTGTTGATCCCATATTTTAGATCCTTGGTAATTTTTCTATATATAATGCGTTTGAGTTTTACATGTCTTTGCGAGAGAAAACGATGGGAAACGCGGTCCCGATGAGGGCGATCGCAACGGCACCGGCGATGAGGTAGTTTGTCCCCTCGGCGGACACATCGCCTACAGCTGCCACCGTCACGGTTCTCGTCGTAGGCCTACGCACTGTCATTGACGACGGGGAACCTGTGGTAGCCG